TTCGCATTGTGTCGCATCACGTTTTGGCTGGTGGTGCCCAGCTACTAATGTATGTGGGCGGATCAGGAGGAACGGGGAAATCTCATATCATCAAGGCAATAGTCACTCTGTTCAAAGCTCTTGGGAGATTTTCGGAGTTATTGATCGGTGCCCCAACCGGTATCGCCGTGACCCTTATAGGAGGGACAACCCTTCACTCGTTACTCATGGTTGGAACATCATCGAAAGCTCAGATTAATCCCCGACTCTACGAAACTTGGCGTCCTGTCCAATACTTGATTGTGGATGAAGTCTCAATGCTGGGTGCTCAGTTCATGGCCCTTTTATCCACGCGGCTGAAAATAGCCAAAGGTGATGATATTCAAGCGGCAACTCGGAATTTCGGAGGAATCAATATTATTTTTATGGGTGACTTCTGCCAGCTCGCACCCCCTAAACAGAAAAGCCTCTACTCCTACCAGTTAGTAAGGGAACCGTCTTTCGCCGAGAGCAGGAACATGCGTGGTTTTGAGAACGTTGCCGGAGCCTATCTATGGAGACAGGTATCTGCCGTAGTCTTGCTGAAAAAGAACCAGCGTCAATCGTCTGATTCAACATTTGCTACTATTCTCAATCACATCTGTGAAGGAACTTGTCGCGATGACATTGGTAGAGAAGTGCGGATCAACGGAAGGACAATCCTTGCGTATTTGCGAGAGAGAGAGATCTCGCGTGTGGCAGTATCCGATCCGTTATCATTGAAGCTATTTAGCAACGCGCCAGTCGTCGTTGGTAGCAAGACATTGCGTGATGTTCTCAATGCGAATCTCGTTCGGTACCATGCAAGCAGGACCGGGAAGTCGGTTTTTCTGTATCACTCCATTGATTCGACTCGTGCGGTGTCTCTCTCTCACCACGATTACACTACCTTGTGGGATCTACCGTCAAGGAAGACTCAAGAGTCTTTAGGCCGCTTACCCCTATTCATTGGCATGAGAGTCATGGTTACAGAGAATGTATCGATTCCCTACAGAGTAGTAAACGGAGCAGAAGGCGAAGTGGTCGATATCGTATACTCTTGGGAGTCTTTAGCTGGAGTCAAGATACGCGTAGCTAATGCCGTGTACGTGAAGATAACAGGGAGTAATCTCAAACTCCCCGGGTTCCATCCTGATGTCGTTCCACTCTGCCCGCGCCCCGTCAGTGTCCAGCTCCCGCTCGTTTTAGAAGGAGGGGCGATCAAAGGTTTTCGACGCCGGCAAGTTCCAATCGTACCCGCGTATTCGTATACCGACTACAAAAGTCAAGGAAGGTCGTTGGATCGTGTCATTGTTGACCTGGAGACTGCCAGAGGGCAGGGACTCTACGTGATGCTTTCCCGGGTTCGCACCCTGGAAGGCCTGTTGATTTTGACTTGGACTCCTTCAGTAAGAATCCTTCAACGAATGTCAGGAGAGCTACGGACGGAATTGGACAGGTTGAAAGAGTTAGACCGATTGACACTTCAAGAAAGCTTGGCGTTGGTCTAGGTTGATTGACACGTTCAAAGCCTAAACTTGCGACAGTCAGTTTATCATACGTTTAAAATCTAATGAATTATGGTCCAGTCAGTTTATAATACGTTTAAAATCTAATGAATTATGGCCGTCCTGCCGCCAGTTATAAAGAACCCGTTCGCGACTCGAGCCCTCCCGTTTCAATCATGTCACAAGCACAAGCACAAGCACACTCACCACTCACCATTGTCCTCCCCGCACCGTGTGTATTCCATCACTGACTTTACATCCGCTCGCTGACTCTCGAGCATTCCAAGCGGCATAGTAGGGCAGATGATAGCAGATCGCTGTGAGCACTTTGATACAGCTTGGGATCTGGTTTGATAGAGACTTCGACCTGCAATAGTCTGCTTGGCTCGTATCAGAAAGGCGGGAAATAGATACCAGATCCTGGAGGCCATTGACACCAAGACCGCAAAAGAAGTACTCGTAAAGATCACTCGCCGGAGCTTGGTCCAAGAACGTGTCTTGTGTCGAGATATTGCTTGGCTTCGATGCAATACGTCCGATAGGTGGGAATTCCAGTCTTCGTATTCTCTGGCCTCGATCTGATTTTCTTCTGATTTTCTGTAGTCGAGTACAGAAGCTTCAATCGGTCATCAAAACTGCTCCAGACGTGGCCCTTGTTTTTGAACGCCACGGGAAGACACTTTCAGATGTCATGAAAGACGGGACGTTGACCCCTTTTTCGAAACGCTATGTGCAGGAGATTTGCCTCCAGGTCATAAGTGGCCTTCAGTGTATGTGCTATTTCTGGGCTACCACTTCTGGGATACTAGTAACCTTCTGACCGTTAATTTAGACCTTCACCGGACAAAAGTTGTCCACTCGACTCTTTCCCCGGACGTTATCTGGCTGACCGATGATTTTGGTTATCAGTCTCATTATCATCGGGGAAGGGACGGTTTTGTTGAAATGGTGAGGTATGCCTTCAGTAAATCGAACGTCACTGATATTACCTCGCAGAAAACTTTGAGGACTACCAAACTCCAGATTGGGTATTATGGGCAAATGAGTGACAAGTGCCCAGGAGCTATTGTCGTCGAAGGTGTGGATCAATATCGAGCACCGGAAGTGTTAATGGGTTAGTATTTGGTCATTCGTGTGCATATGGTACTGATACTCCAAATGAAGGTCGCCGTCCACTTCCTCAGAACGACCACTTTGCCCTCGGATGCATTTTGTTTGAACTCGTTGCGCGCCGGCCCCTTTTCGTGGAATGCCACGCGGAAGGCATTAACTACGTTCGGGAGAAGCTCCTCATGATGACCTGTGCACTTGGCCCCATTGACGAAATGATGGCCGATCAACTCTCCTCCAGGGCAACTACGATTGGTGCTTTCGATGAAAACGGGCATTTAATGGGTTCAACGTCATGCTCTCCGACTACGGTCAGGTATATCCAACTTGACCAGCGACTTGATGTAAGTCGTATTTCCTTGGCTTTTTTCCAGTTGCTAAGTGTGTATATTTAGACACATATCAAAGACGTAGACGTACTTTATACAGTACGGAAATTTACCGAATGGGACTATCGCAAGCGCCCGTCTCTTGCCCTTGCTCCGCTGCATCACCCATTCCTTTCCCAAAAGCTTTACTAGATTACTTTTCTTGTACACGTTATTTCGCGAAGACTTCGACCTTGCAGGTCTTTCAAGTCGCACTTGTTCTGCTCGATTGCGTCGGTGGTAGAAAGAGTGTATTGCGAATCTAGGAACACCAAGATGTGGACGTGAGGTAGACCCCTTTTCTGAAATTCGACCGTATATACATAAGCGACCGCCTTCCCAAACATATCGTTGCGATAAATGTCCTCCAGCAACGCATCCTTCTTCAATTTGAATACGCGCGCTACCAGGTCTGGGCGGTCGAAAGCCGTCTGCCCTGGAAGCAGTTCTTGAGTGATTTCTTCCCAGTTGGGGTTCGTTGTCATTGTAATGAAGAGGTCGACACGGCGGTAATGACGTGCAACGGCCATGGCATCCTGGTACCGCTGCATCATGTTGCGTGGTCCGCCAACATATGATGATGGGAGGATAACTCGGCGGCCAATGTGATTGAGGTCACCGTCTTCAGTCGAGACAGTGTCCTCAAGTCCACTGTACACTTCCGCCCGCAATTGCTTCTGGTTCTCCCGGATATATTGAAGTCGGTTCTGATCGGCGGAGGCCCACATGTCAACAATGTATCGGGTGAAGAGGCGACCTGAACGAAGTAAAGTTTGGAGGGGTATACGTAGAAATTATTCATAATTACACGGTTTAACCGTGAATGAATTATTCATAAAAACGTGGATCTGGGGCCTCAGGTAGTTATTCATAAAAACCCCAGTCCAAATGGGGCATTCAATCAGCTTCCCTGTCCATCAGAGAAGTCAGAAGCACGGTGCTGAGCTTCTTGACCGACAGAGAGCATCATTCCCGCCCTTCCCAATTGGGATAGTGTCTGATATTTCTCCGTTTGTCAGGGCTGGAAAACATTAGCATTATCAGGGGATCGACTGGGCCGACCTCCCTCAAACGTTGGAGAAAGAACGACGATATGCCTACCTATCAGTATCCCAAGTATCAAGCCCCCACCCCTCCTTGATCTACCGAATAGGACCCAATGTGGTTACTCTAACGTCGAGGAACTGTCAGCGCGAGCGTTATCTCCTTTTCTGGCAATCTCTATATTTAGGGTACAGTCACACCACGGGTATGACACTTCGAACGTTAATATGAGAAGTGTTAACGGTCAAAGGACTCCTTGATCGGTGTAGTCTATCAGGCTGCTGCCTCCATTGAATTTCCGGTCATGGCATCGTCCCGACGCAACCCCACTACGCTCCAGCCCGTATTATCGATCACGTTAAATAGACACCACTACTACTGCTACTCTCTATGATTTCAAGAATACATGCAACAAAAAGCCAAAGTATGACCGAAATACGGAAAAGCTGGATTGGAACACGCGTCTATGTATCACTAGTGCTCAAGCGCTCAAGTCTCAGCGATGTGTGGTAATGCTTCGGAGTCTTTACCATGGCTTCACAGAGAGTTGAACCGGTAGAACACCTAAACAAGCCTTCTCCTTTTAACATCCTCTCCGCTAGATCTGTGCGTACTTTTTAACAAGTGAGACATCGGAATCGGAGGATGACTTTACCTGGATTTACTGCCGTGTCGAGAATCGTGTGTCGATTGTCGTTTCCCGTAGGACACGGCCATTTCTGATCTGGTATCGGGGGCAATGGGCATTTGAGAAACCCGGCTTTGAAGAGGATAGTCCCCTTGTTTACCCCTTCTACGTCAAATGACTTGAGTATCCGCTATCATATTATTGACTTTAGACACTAAGAAGCCCTACCTATTCGCGTCGAAGTAGGCATGGCTACCGTTGCCCGCGGGATGCAGTGGATCTAGATCAGAATTTCGTTATTTTAGATCCACATGACGGTGGGTAGACCTACCCTCTTTACTTGCATGGGATATAACGCGGTAGGGTGATGGGCGAGGGTCCATAGAGGTTCGATTGGACACAGTCCGGTCAGTCGTACCATGGGAAAACTTCGGGGTCATTTCTTTGGCGATCGCTTGCATCGACCGGGAGCTAGCCCTGAAATGGTTGATGATCAACGTTGTCAGGTAGAATGGCTGGGCAAAGTACCCTTGTGGAACTCCATGCGCCGCTCGTTCTGGCTGGAATGCCGCGCTTCCCCTGGATAGGCTTTGATAACTTTCCCAAGGCCAATGCGAAGTGTCGGTAGCTCCGTTCAAAGAGAAACTGGGTATCAACTGGGAAGGTGTTGCATCGTGTCGGCACCAATCTGAAGGACCACAATAATGGTCAGGTCAGATAGTGGTGAAAGGCTATGATATTCGTACCTGAAGGACCACAATAATGGTCCTACAGGTAGTAAGTAACATATACATGATACAGAGAAATAAATAATACTTACAGGTCAGATAGTGGTGAAAGGCTGACCTGTAAGAGAGACGGTGGCTTGTGTATATAGTAAATGATGGCGGAGAAGGAAAGTGGTGATGGGGTCATTAGGGGCAAGTGAAGGGCTCCGTACGATATTCTAACACACCCCCATCGGAGGAGTCCGTAACAGAAAAATATAGAGAAAGAAAGAAAAGTAGAAAACGAACAGCAGCGAATAAGTTATAAAGGGTAACGAACCAAATTAAGAGCTTTGCGGTGACGTTCAAAAAGATTGGCGCGAAGTGGTTTGGTGAAAATATCAGCGACATTGACATTTGTAGCGACCCATTCAGCTTTGAAAGTACCGTCGGCGAAATACTGTTTGGCGAAAAGTTCGCGAATATGGACATGTTTGGACTTGGATCCGACAGCGGGAGACTCCATCTGGTATAGAGTGGATTTGTTGTCGCAAATGAGAGGGAAAGGTTGAGGAACGGGGAAGTTGCAGATGAGGAGGAAAAGGCGCATCCACAAGCCTTCTCGCATTGCGTTAACAATAGCATAGAACTCCGATTCGGTTGAGGACAAAGCGATGACTCGTTGGCGCGTCGAGCTCCATGCGACAATCCCACCGAGATAGAAAAAGACGTGTCCAGAAATACTAATCCTCGTCAACTTGTCTGAAGCCCAGTCGGCGTCGGAAAAACCCGTGGCTGAGCGAATGAATGCGTTGATAGAAGGGTGAATGTCGTTGAGAGGGTCGTAGAGCAGGACCAGGTCGATTGTCTCGAAAAGGTAGCGGAGAACGCGTTTACCAGCCACCAAATGTTTCATCTTGGGATCAGCGCTGTGGCGACCAAGCGACATGGCAACATAGGCGATATCGGGTCGAGTGCAGGTCGCGAGATAAATGAGGGAACCAACTAGAGACTGGTATTTGCGCTTCATATTGTCGGGATTGATGAAGGGGAAAGGAGCGACATCCGTGTCTGGGAGATCATCGAGAAAACCCTCCATGGGAGTAGCAACGCCACGACATTTATCCATACCCCAATCGTCGAGGAGAGTTTGGATAAAAGGGGATTGCGATAGCCATAACCGACGATTTGGACGATCACGCAATACTCGAATGCCGAGAAACATGGAGACAGGCCCGAAATCGACAACATCAATGCCATGGGCCTTGAGCTGTTTGATAAACCATGTGTAGAGTTCGGGAGAATTTGTAGATGCGAGGCCGTCGTCAACATGGATAGGGACGAGCAAGATGAGAGGTGAGCCGTCGGCAGGCATGGGAATGGAAGGGTCGGGAGGAGAGTTCCACACGCCGATGAAGAAGGCATGATCAAGCTCGCATCTCTTGAGACCAATCTTGACGAGGATTCCCATGAAGTGGCAGTACCACGCAAATGCCGCCTGTTTGAGGCCGTACAAAACGACGAGAAGTCGGAGAACGGCTTCCGGGTTGTCAAGAGGGAAACAGGGAATTTGCTTGATATAGACTTCGTCGTCGAGTTTGGAGTGCAAAAAGGCGGTCTTGATATCGAAAGAGAACAGGTCGTAGTCTCGAAGAGCGGTGATGGCGAGAACGATCCGGACAACAGCTAGTTTGACGACAGGCGCGAATGTTTCGTCGTAATCGTTTGGCCGCTGCAAGAAACCCTTTACAACAAGCCTCGCTTTCTCCTCTCCCCATCGAATAGAACCGTCAGGGTTGAGTTTGAAGGCAAATACCCATCGTACATCGATCGCAAATTTCCCCGGGGGCAATTTCTCCTTCACTTCCCAAGCAGGCCTGCCCTTGAGACTGTTGAACTCTCGACACATCGCAGCCAACCACGCAGGCCAGTCCGAACGCGACATTGCCTGCTTGACGGTATCTGGAGCTTTGGTAAGATCAATCACACGGAAAGCGACCGAGTTGTGAAGTCATCCTCATCAAGCATGAGAGCATCGCAGTA